GCTCTCTGTTGTTTGAATACTGTAAAGTGATGGTTTTGGGATTATATTTTTTTCTGTGTACTTTGAAATCTTTCAAAGTACATTCTGTAAATTGATTTGTTCTCTTTTATCATCTCTTCATTTGTATAATAACTGTTTATTGTTCAAAATAAATTTACAGCATTGCATATTTGTGTTTCAGTGGAAAAACCACTGAAGAAAAGTAAAGAAAACAATATATTTGATCAAGCCAGAGTTCAGTCTGGATTAACCAGTAGTAACGCCAACTGGGATCATAACATACTGAATGTATGGGGAGACCAGAACTAAGATACACAGTTTAAAAATAAAATGTGTCCCACTTAAGATAAACTTAATCTTTTTCTGAGGGCCATGAGTCATCTTTGGAACACTCTCTTTTCCCGGGCTGTCAAGTTGTTTTTTTTTTAAGGCATATGTGGATGGATACTGACTAACAAGGGAGTTGAAGGCTATCAGCAGTAGGTGGGAGATGTGGCACATTTGGATCAGCCATGATTTTATTGAATGGTAGGACAGGCTAGAGACCAAATAGCCCACTCTTCCTAATTCATGTATTAGTTTGTAAATATTCACTTTAGCTGCTATCAATGCATTGTGGCAGTTGCATATACAAGAATATGCTGCAATGAGTCACCGGGCCTACCTCAACAGCCTTTCCAAATCAGCAATCTCTACAACCTGGAATGATGGGAGCAGACAGATGGGCACGTCTGCAAGGTCCCCACCAAGTTATCCTGACTTGAAACTAAACCACTGTTCCTTTTGCTATAACTGGGTCAAAATCGTCAACCACCCCTACTAACAACTCCATAGGTGCACCTGCTCCAGATGGACTGCATAAAAGGCAGATCACCATCACCACCTTGAGGGAAATTCAGGATGGATAGGCAATGACTGGCATATCCAGTGGTACCTACATCCCAGACCTGTCAGCTTGACATTGATAGTGGGAAAACTGAAGACCATAATACAGGATAAGATACGGGATAAAATAAGTATACACTTAGAGGGAAAAAATGAATTAATAGTAGAAAGTCAACATGGCTTTGTCAAGGGAAAGTCTTGTCTGAGAAGTTTAATTGAATTCTTTGAAGTAATAGATAGTGGATGAGGGTAGTGCTGTGAATGTTGTATATTTGGACATTAAGAAATCGTTTGATACTGTGCCATATGACAAGCAAATTAGAAATTTTTGGTGTTGATAGGCTCTTGGCAGCATGTAATTAGAAGTTGGCTAAAAGAATAGGAGACAGAGAGTAGGTACATGTGGGCATTTCTCAGACTGGAGACGAGTTGAAAGTGTCTCCCAGGGACCCTTGCTTTTTCTGATTTTATATAAACAAGTTGGAAATGGGTATTGAGGGCAAAGTTTCTAAATTTGCAGGCGATACTAAGCTAGGGAAAACATTGAATTGTAAAGATGACATTGAACGACTTCAGAGACCCATTGACAAGTCAGCCAAATGAACAGATAGCTGGCAGATGAATTTCGATGCAGGGAAATGTGAGATAATGCGTTTTGGCAGAAGAAACCATGGAGACACCAGACAGGCTCAATGTACAACTTTGAAGGGAGAACAGGAGTAGAGGAACCTTTTTGGATTCTCTGAAGGTGACAAGCAGAAACAGTTGTTGAAAAATCTTATAGGATCCTTGGGGTTTATAAATAGAGGCAAAGAATATAAAAGCAAGGAAGTGATGCTAATTCTCTACATGTCTTTGGCTGCACCTCACTTGGAGTGTTGTTTTCAGTTCTGGGCACCTTATTTAAGGAAGAATGTTAAAGCCTTAGAGAGAGGGTACAGGAGATTTACTACAATGATACCAGGAATAAGGGATTTTAGATACATAGAAAGATTAGAGAAATTGGGCTTATTCTCCTTGGAGCAGAGAAGGTTAGAAGGTGACTTTATTGAGATGTTCAAAATCATGAACAATTTTGACAGGGTAAAGAAGGATATTCTATTCTCACTAGCTGGTATGTCAGTAACTAGGGGTCACGATTTCAAGATCGTCAGCAAGTTAGCTAGGAGTGAGATGAGGAGAGACTTCTTTAGAGTTGTTAGGATTTGGAATGCACTGCTTGGAAGAGTGGTGGAAGTGGATTCCATAGATTTCAGAAGAGAGCTGGATGTGTATTTGAATATTGGCTATGGCAGTAGGGCTGGAGAATGCGACTGGCCAGGTAACTTTCATGTGCAGTACAGATATGATGGGCTGAATGGCCTCCTTCTGCACTGTAAAGTTCTGTGATTTGTAGCTGTAAGCAACTCCCTATTGTCTGATTCATGCCTTACCCCAATTTTGTAGAGATAACACAGTGTGGAGCTGGAGGAACACAGGCCAGGTAGCATCAGAGGAGTAGGAAGGTTGACGTTTCCGGTCGGAACCCTTCAGAAATGGGGGAGGAGGAAGGAAGCTCAGAAATAAATAGAGAGAGGAGGGGTGGGGCTGGGAAAGGTAGGTGGGATGGTGATAGGGGAGTGCAGGTGGGGAGTGGTGGAGCTTGGCCAGTGAGGTGAGAAGAGCGGATAGGTGGGAGAGATGATGGACAGGTTGTATCAGGTCAAGGAAGCGGGGATGAGAGGGAGGGTTGGTCATGGGATGAGGCCGGGGGTAGGGAGATTTTGAAACTGGTAAAGTCCCCATTTAGGCCATTGGGCTGTAGGCTCCCAAGGTGGAATATGAGGTGCTGCTCCTCCAGTTTGCGGGTGGCATTATTGTGACGCTGGAGGAGTCCCAGGATGGATATGTCGCTCAGGGAGTGGGAGGGGGAGTTGAAATTGTTCGCAACTGGAAGGTGGTGGTGTTTGCCGCGAACAGAGTACAGGTGCTCTACAAACTGGTCTCTGAGCCTCTGCTTGGTCTCACCGATCTAGAGGAGACCTCATTGGGAGCAGTGGATGCAATAGACCACATTGACAGATGTGCAGATGAACCTCTGTCTGATGTGAAAGGCTTGTTTGGTGCCTGGGATGGAGGTAAGGGGGAAGGTGTAGGAGCAGGTGTAGCACTTCCTGCGGTTGCAGGGAAAGGTGCCAGGGGTGTTGGGGCTAGTGGGGAGCGTGGAGCAGATGAGGGAGTTGCGGAGAGTGTGATCTCTACGAAAGGCAGGTAGGGGTGGGGAGGGAAATATATCTTTGGTTGTGGGGTCGGATTGCAGGTGGTGGAACTGGCGGAGAATGATTCATTGGATACGGAGGTTAGTGGGGTGATATGTGAGGTCTAGGGGATTTCAGTCTCTGTTTTTGTTGTTACTCACTATCTTTCTTACTATCCCCAATTTTGTAGAAGTGTGTAGAAAATGCTGTAATTTGAAAACACAATGATCCTGTAATTATTATTCCTTCCAAAAGAGTTACTGGCGGGGTATGATTAAATACTACGCTGGATTATCTTTTGAGATTCTGCAAATGGAGCTAATATTTGAGAGATTAATTAGGGCATTTTGTGCATTGTCTGAGCAGGATGAATGTTTTAAGGGCCATATGAATTTTTCCTATTGTGATTTCAATAGATGTGCTGCATCTTCAATGTATATTCACACTTCACAATATTTCAAATATTCTGGTGAAATCAGGAAGTAAGTGAGTTTATCATGATCATTTACACCAAACTGATGAATTCCTTCATTCTAAAATATTTTGTGAGAAATCCAATGTCAGTCTTCAATAAGTGATTTGTTTGAGTGTGATCCGACTTTTATTCTTCCCCTATATTAGTTCCAAAAGTGTAAAATGCACAAAGAGAAAGATGTACAGATTGTAAACGTTGCTAAAAAGAGACATGAAGTCAACAGTTTTCATCTTGCACTTGTCAGAATTGAAATGCAAGAAAGGAAGGAAGAATTTATGTGACAGCTGTAAATTGTTGTAATGGGGATATTTTTAAAAGGTTCGTTGTTCAGCATATAAGCAGATAATAAGCACGTTCAACACTTTTTTTTAAATCAATCTGGGTGCCATGTAGGGCTCAACCCTATTGCATTAGATAACTTTATTTTTAGGGGGACAGTGGAGAGTGCTGCAGAAACTGCAGTTGGTGGCAATATCTGTGTTTTGAAGGAGTTTTAATGTCAATTGAATAAGTTCAACAAAATCTTTTCTGTACATTACTTAGAATTGGAGAAAGAGTGAAGAAATAGAGTTAAGGTGATGTCACATTACCTCAGTCGTGCCCATTTGTTCAATATCTGGTAGTTTGTTTCCTTCCTCCCCTTGCTCACAGAAAAGAATAGCACAAAGGCCATACTTGGATGTGTGTCTATACACCAATTACTACCTTTAAAATCACTGACATGAAATAAATGATACCAGTCCACCATTGACTGTGTTAATCCCTTATGTAGGTTACAATTCCCAAAACAAAATTGTTTGTTGCAATCTGACCTAAATTTTGCCAACACCTTTTTTCAATCTTGCTTTTTTCCCTCAATGGTCTCTAGTAATTAAATGTGTAGTAATATTAATATAGTTCTGTGTTGTAACTTTATACATCAAAAGACAAGTTAGTATTCTGGTAGTATTTTTTATAGAAGAATACTGCAGGATTCAGTAATATTGGTTCTTACTTCTCCACCTAATTCCAGTCCAAATTAATCATGTCCAGTTATATCAATTTATTCTATAATAATTATTGGTTTCTGTCTATTTTCTCTTCCAGTTCTTACCCCACCCCTACCTCAAACTCTTGTCCACCTGAAATAACATGTTTTGCACATCTGATAATATTTTGATGCAAGTTATGTTGAACTACCTGCAAATATTTTGAAGAAAAGTGTCCTGATTCAGTAGATCAGACGTTTTATTGTAAAAACAAGAAGGTAACTTGCTGGATAGATTCGATTAAAATCTTTGCCAAAGCAGAGAATTAAAAATTTCAACAATGCGTGGTAATATTTGGATTTAATTGCCTTGTATCTCCTTTAATTTCAAATAGAGGAGCTTTTGCATAAAATACTTTCTAACTTCTTTTTAAAGGCTGATGTTCAAAAACGAGTGGAAACCTTTAATAATGAATGTAGAGAAAATAGTGAATTAATTAGAGCCTTCCAAATACTACAGCAAAAAAATTGTGCAGAACTTGAAGAAATTGAAGAACATTTTCAGAATTATGGCTATGAACCCTTGAGTAGAAAAGATGAAGGTACGTAATGGGGAGTGAGCAGAGTTGTCCTTAATTTCATGATTATGTTTACTGTGATAATTTTTAAAGATTCCTTAAAACAAAATAGAATGTGACTTTCTAGAGTGCTGTATTGTATTGGTATGCCTCAGAACGTGGTACAACATGCTCATATAATTTATATTAAATATAAGGAGCAGAATTTTAAATGATTGAAATTGCACAATAACGTTCAGAGATAGCAAGAATGCAGATGCTGGAGTCAGAAGAGTGGAGCTGGAGGAACAGAGTAGGCTAGGCAGCAACTGAGGAGCAGGAAAATTGACGTTTCGGGTCAGAACCCTTCTTCAGAAACGGGGGAAAGGTAAGGAACCTCAGAAATAAATGGAGGGGTGGGGCTGGTCAGTGAGGTGGGAGGGGCAGATGGGTAGAAGAGAAGATGGATAGGTTTTGTCAGGTGAAGGAGGTGGGAATGAGAGGGAGGGTTGGACATGGGATGAGGCCGGGGTGGGGAGATTTTAAAGCTGGTGAAATCCCTGTTTAGGCCATCAGGCTGTAGTCTCCCGAGGCGGAATATGAAGTGCTGCTCCTCCAGTTTGCGGGTGGTGTCATTTGTGACACTGGAGGAGGCCCAGGGAGTGGAACGGGGGAGTTAAACGGTTCGCAGTCGGAAGGTGTTGTCGTTTGTCGCATACAGAGCGCAGTAGTGTTCACATGCTTTTAAATGTACGGTGGCAGTAATTTGATTTGGATCACAAATGGCTGCTTTAAGCTCTTTTCTCCCTCTTTCTATATCACTAATAGATTATATTCAATGAATGGCTGCTTGCAAAACCCAAAACACTTTTTCTGCTCCTTGTTGTGATTATGCAATTGGGCAACATTTGCTGAACAATTCTTTAGTGTACTTATAGCAATAATGAAAATTAATTTATGATGATTAGCCGAGCTTATAACCTGGCTCGTTTATGCTTGCCAGGACCAAAGTATGTTCATTCCCAAGGACCTAAATTCTGGAAACAGGATATTGTCAAGCCTTGTCTTTTTGAATTACCCAGGAGGTTATAGTTCCTTGTCTTTTTGTTTCAGTTGTCACCATGAATAATCAATTAATTGGAATCAACTTGTCAATCAAGTAGCACCCTTTTGCTGCAGTGGTATAAGTTTGTTGAGGTCATTGATTATTTTGCATTCTTGTATTTGTGCAAGATATAAATTGGCAGCATGTCTTTTTGTACTTAGCAAAAGAACTAGCATGTACTTGAAGGTGCTTGAGTTAATTAGAGAAAGCAAATAGATTTTGGAAATGGCAGATCATATTATAACTAATCAAATTGGTTTCTTTATAATGCACTAATAGAGAAAGTTGAAGGGAGTGCAATGAAAGCATCTGGATAGCACTTGACAAAGTACTGCAGGGTAGTGTTTCAAGATTTTTCAATTTTTCTGAATTCTGGCAGACAGTGTGGATGATACCAAACAGTTACAACAGGACATAAGTTAACCAAATAGACAAACAAATGGTAGATGAAAATTCGTGCAGAAAAGTGTAAATGGATGAATTTTGGTGGAAAGGATAATGAAAGGCAGTATAGATTTGATGACTCGGTTCTAAGAAATTTCCAGGGACACTTGAGGGTTCAAAGTTAGAACATGATAGGGCATGGAGATAATAATTATGGGACTTTGGATTTCAAAATTGAAGTATTGAGTTCAAAGACAGAGAAATTAAGCTGTAAATTGTTCTGGTCATACTATAACTAGAGTGTTGTGTCCAATTCTGGTCACCAACTTTAGAAAGAATGTAAGGCTCCTGAAGGGAGTTTATGGGAGATTTACCAGACTAGTTCTAGCCATGAAGGATTTTAGCTACAAGGTTAGATTGGTGAAACTCCACACTTGGAGCAAAGGTGGCTGAGGTGAAGTCAGATGATGGATCCTTTCATATCGCTATCAGGTAACTAGCAGCACGTGAGTGCCATTAGTTTCAACTCTAAAATGCAGTGGTGGTTCAGGAAATGCCTTTAGTTGGCTTTGGACCGCAGATGCTGAGTTAACCAGCAAAGTAAAAGTGGAGGATGCAAAGTTCCATAAAATGTCATGATGCAAACACTCAAACCCCACCTCTACCACCTGGAAGGATAAAGGAAGGAGACATGAGATGTATTGCTGCTTCAGGTTCACCATCCTCAATTGGCATTTTCTACCTAGCAGCACTGGTGCAAATCCTCCCACAAACTTCAGTTCAAGAAGTTCGCTACCAACTATCTTTTTGAGGGCAATCGGGGACAGGCAATAAATGCTGACCCTCTAAGTAGTAATTCCTGTGAGTGAGAAAATACCAAAAGGCCACTTGTGCCAGTGTGACAAGTTGCAGGAAATTATTGAAAAGTAATACCTGTGTTGTTGCTTTCATCCAGAGCAATGATGACAGGTCATGAATACTCACTTTTGGGTTGCTCAATTAAACAGTGCTAAATCAAGACACTATTTCTCGTAACTAACTATTACATAAGTTACCATCAAGGTGAAACGGGATAGGCTCTACTGTGGTATCCCTGGCACTCGAATAGTCTGTTAACATTCACTGTTCAGAAATTACATAAAACATGACCATTTGGTAAATGGTATGGGTAGGTATCTTGCATCCTGTAGAAATGGTAGGTTTCCAAGAGACAATAGCCTTGACTTCAAAGAGAAGAAAAATTTAAAGAAATGTGAAGTGGAAAATCTCTAACGTATAATGTATTTTCCTCCAAGAACCACAGATTAAATTAATAAGTACCAAAATAGATGGAACTGAAAATTCTGATCCTGAACTTGAAAAGCAAAATAATGAAGGTGTTACTCCATCACATGAGAAGACTTTGAATGACTCCTTGCGTACCCCTCAACTTGAAGACTTTGGACTTGGCCACTTAATGTTTCAAAGTGCATGGGGAGAGCCAGAATGTAATCAGTTCTCAAATCCCAAAATCACTCTGGAATTCTCTGGAAATAATAAGTGTTCTTCAACATTACAAGGTCCAATTATTCCAAAGACACCAAAATGCACGTTACGGCTGGATGATGAGATGCTTCTCACTCCAAAGTTGGAACATTTTGGTATTACAGAGCATACTGGTTATGTAAATGACTTTACTCTGGCTTTGTATAATAAATGTGCTCAACCAGAGACAAACAGGTAAATATTTAAAAATTTTTAGACATAATTATAATTCAATTTCTCTTTGTTTCCAATAACCTACACTTTCCGCACCCCCAAGGTTTGAAATGGGATTAATATAATCACTTTATAAACATAAGTGAATTATTTGCACTATTATTTCTCCCTATTCTGAAATTTCTCATTTGCAGTAATAATGAGTATATTAATCAAACTTGATTCTGTGATGGCAGACTGTGTTCAATGTAAGCACCAACCTTAATTTTCTAAATATAATGCACCTTCAAATATAATATACCTACACTTTTTCAGTACTGCAGTTGAATTGTCAAATTCAAGGTGGCATGCATGATAACTCAGTTGTAAGTATTGGCTGCCAGCTGCCGCAGTGTTAGAGGAAAAGAGTAGAGAAGTAGGATTAATAGCTTTGTCAAATTGCCTGCAGAGGGACCACGTGAGAGTGCCATGTTCCTGCAGAGTTCCTGCACTTGCACTATTTGTCTCTCAAGTGTTTTATTAGATAGCATACCAACTAACGTACCCGCACCATAAAGCATCAAAGTAGTTATCCCAATAAAAGGTTTTGGATGACATTCTAGTACATATAATGCTAAGTGAATACTTTATTGAATTTAATATCTTGCAATCCCCAGATGGTTTGACTTTTAGAACTCCAGAGAACACTTTTTTTTAACCCTCTTGGAGACAGCAGTTTTTTTTCTCGGCCTCCCTGTAACCTTGAGTGTTTCCATCATTCTGCCCTTAAACTTATTAGGCAGGGAAGCGGAGACTTGGCTTGAGTTCCTCCTATGGGTGTTATTTAAGAAAAAACCCCAAATCTTCCTTTTACAAATGAAGTGGGAAACTAGATATATTGTGATTTTAAAGGTACTATATAAATTCTAGTTAAAATGCGTTTTCTTTTTAGGAGAAATACATATTATGTTCAGAAAGTTCAGTAACTTGTGATGCCACTATATACTGCATTGGTTCTGTCACAATTGAAGTTTCTGTAGAAAATGCTAACAATGCTAAATGTGTCACCCAGTGTTTTGTTTTGTATTGGCATTGTAAGTATACATGTCTTTATATTTGTGACCTAGGATTGGGGACAAGTAATTAAGTATTTGCATTCTTGTCCTAAATATTCCCAGTTCAGGTTTTCTTGTTTTTGGCAAGTATGTTTACTGCATTTGTCATAATTTTACCAAGGTGAATTTTTTTTTTTATTACTATTATTTCTTCTTTCTCTTTCTCTTCCCTCCCCCAACCCCCCAAAAAAAATACACAATTCTGTTCCAGTGGTAATCCTATACCAACAACTGAAGAAGATCAGTTTGTCATATCTGTGTCAAAGCAGATTGAAAATGCTTCTGAGTCTTTTATGACACAACAGGCTGATCCCAGCAGTAAGTATTGGGGTGGATTATTTTAAAAAATTTTAAAGTATAATTTTAATATTGAACTGTATCAGACTTGTGTGTGTAGAATCCATTTGTAGGTCTACAAATTGCATTTCTACTGGGAAATCAATCCAAACGTGGCAATTAAAAAGACAGAAATAAACTTGTGCTTATGACTAACAACAAATAACAGGCGGGAAAACACAACGGTGCTTCATCGGAGGCTACACTGATGATGTTACCCAGCAGGGTAATGAAATGTCTGCAAAACAATAGACCGGTTTGACAAGCAAACCAACTACGACATCCACAACCCGAGCTACAAATCTACGCTAAAACCTTATGACTAAGATTTTAGAATTAGGATGAATTCCTGCAGTTCAGAATATTTAAGCTCTAACCCTTTTGTCTTAATAGTTAAGCTGTTGTCTCAGTGGTTCATCAGAATTTGCAAAACGCACAGTTTCAAAAATCTTTGTCTAAATTGATCAAATAGGGTGGGCTGAATCCATGGAAGCTACTTAGGAGTTATGAATTGTTTATTTTTCAAGTATTTAGCCCAATTACGTTTAATATAGACTAGTGTGAAATATTTCATGTAAGAAAAAAAAATGAAAAATTTAAAAATCCAGCTACTCTTGAACATCCATTCAGCATATCTGACCACCCTGGAGCAAATACTATTCTTATCCAAGCAATCAATACAGTATTGTTCAGCTAAGAGAAAATCACGTTGAAAATGTGTAGCAAAAACAGAAAAAGCTGCGACTGCTGAAGTCAAACATCTGCAGAGATTGACTTAAAATATTCTGTCACTTTCACTAGAACACAAATGTGATGTGTTTTGGTCACACCTTCCTTGAGTATGATGACTGATGTTCTTTAGACATTTGAACCATGGAGAACAGTTCAGAAATAAAACAAATGACTGTAATATCAAAAGGATGCAGAAAAAAGTGATTTGGCATTTTGGAATTCTTTCAGCCTTGAAAGTGGTGGAACTTTGGAGATATACAAGAGAAAATAAAAGTATTGAGTAAGAAATTATGACACAGGAACTTCAATTCGAACTAGTAAAAAGCAAATATAGGAATGATATTGAGGAAGTTCTCTCATTGCATAGTCAACACATGGTTAGAGTTGTGGAGGGAAGTGGGAAGTTCTCAATCGTTAAAGAATGAATCAAGTGCTGTGAGGAAAGAACTGAAGACTTTTAGGGATAAGGGTGCTGAAATGGGACAAATGATTTTCTCTTCAAATTTATCATGAAAGCAAAGTATTCATGATTTTCATCAGAAAGTGCTGCAGGGACTTCTGTTTGTATGTAAGGTTACTCAAAAGGAATTATAAGTATTATTCTCCATAACCATTCTTTTGGCTTCCATTTTGAATGTATTGACAAACATCTTAAGTGGAAAGAACATGGGCATTCCTTTGGACGTTGATGTGGAAGCATCCAGTGTAGGAATGTTCAGTGTTATTGCATTAAGACTCAAAACATGGAGTGTTCACCAGCAACGGAGAATATTTCTTGGCTTTAGGTTAGGAGCTAGGAAAATTGCCCTAAATTAAACTTGTTGGATTAAGTATTGTTTAGTCTGTCAACCACCAAGCTCCATGATAATTAATGGCAGAGAAGTAGAAGAGTGAGCTGGGATGTTTCGGAGGGAGCTATCTTCTCAGATTGCTGAAAGGAAATGAAGATGTGTTTGGCATCGTGCAGGAGATGGTGGAACTGGTTGAAGATTGTGTTGAATGTGAAGCTTAATTGAAGTGCTGCCTTTCTCTCTATCTGTAGATGCCAGACCTGAGAAGTGTTTCTAGTATTTGCTTCTTTATAACTTTCCTTTTCCAGCATTCTGGGTATTTTGCTTTTGTATTCAGATTAAGGGAAATTTAATAAGGATATTCAAGATCATTAAATATTGTATATGGTGAATAAAGAAAAATAATTTAAGTTATGGACGGATTAGTAATCGGAGGGAACGGAGTTGAAGTAACTGGCAAAAGAACCAGAATTCCAATGAGGATGATTTTTAAAAACTCAAGTTATTTATGATCTGGAGTGGACTGTCTGAAACTGATAGCAACAGATTCAATCTTAACTTTTAGAATAGAATTGAATAAATACTTTTCAAAGAAGAGACATTTGCAGTGTTAGAGGAAAAGAGTAGAGAAGTAGGATTAATAGCTTTTTCAAACTGCCTGCAGAGGGATGATGAATTGAATTACCTCCTGTTGTACATGGTTCATCATAATAGGTCCCTCATACTTGGGTGAATATATTGTCTTCAATTTTATTTCTGGTATGAAATAGCAGAAATAATGTTTTGAGTACTAGAGACCTTTTGGGATTTAATTTTATTTTTGTTCTACTCATTCTTTGTCAACTTCAGAAAAAATAATCTGGTCATTCTCTCGCCTATTTATGGGAATTTGTTGCATACAAACTAATGTTATGTTTTCTACACTTCATGAATAACTGCACTTCAAAGTATTTAATTCACTGCAAAGCCCTTGGGATGATAAGTAATCATGAAAGACTGCAAATACAAGTACATAAATACCCAAAATACCTTTCCTCTTTTTCAATATGTAGAAAATAATATGTAAGTTTGAGTTTCAAATACTAAGTATTAGCTGGTGGTGTTCAGTAAAATATTACAGTTTAGGAAAAAGCTGTATTTTTTTTCTTATAGCTGGAGATTTTCTGAATTCTCCTTTGTCTCCTGTGTTTTGCACTCCGGGTCTGAAAATTCATAAAAATTCCTCCCAAGCTCCAGCAAATGAAGAAAGGAAATCAAATGGCTCTTTACCATCTCCAGTATTGCCACATTTTGAAACCCCATGGCTGAAAAAGCAATCCGCTGTGAGTATGATATTCACTAATATTATACTAACTGTATTTTTTAATTTTGGTACAATTTTTGTAGAAAACTTGTTCAATTTTGTCAGCATTTTCAAGTCACTGATCTAAACCATCACTTGAAAAATCAGAAGTGGCAGTTTTCCTTCCTGCTTGTTTGCCTATTTAGTGTCTTGTTGGAAGCGCAGGTCGTTTTAAGACACTTTCTAGTACACTTACCAAATAGATGAACTCTGTCCCAAGAATATTTTCTCAGCAAATACATTACGTTGTCCCATTAACTGCTTGAACAGAAGTATCTGTGAGTTTAATTGATGTGAATCTCTGGTATATGATTTTGTTGTTCGCACAATTTGGTTTAGACTGAGCTGAATCTAAACATACCTGTCTTAATTTTACTTTACTTGAATATAACTCATTGAGTTGACAAAGGTTCTTAACTTAAATGGTTATGGCAAAGAAGGAAATCATTCAGCCCATCATGCTTACACTTGCTGTCTGCAAGAGCAGCTCGATAATTGAGGGAAGGAATCATAAAATATCAAAATGTGAGTTGAAAGTTGGAGTAGATATTAGAGATGAGGCTCAGTGTTATTAGGGATTAATAACCAGGGGTGGAGTGTGTGGAAAGCATAATGCACAAGAAAATATTAAAAGAGAATGACAAATCAGTAGAACATATTCTTAAAAACCTTGTGCCTAAATGTGTGCATTATTTGGAATACAGTTGTTGACCTGACAGCACAAATGGAAACGAATGGGTGCAACCTGGTGAGCATCACTGAAATGTGATTACAGGAGGATCAGGACTGGGAGTTAAATGTCCAAGGGGAATCGGTATTCTGAAAGGATATATAAGAAGGACCAAGACATGCATTTGCTTTATTGGTTGAGGATTTCTTCAAGGCTGTATTAAAAACTGATATTGCAAGTAGGGACCTAAAATGTTCAGTCAGTCCTGGGTGAAAATAAAAAGCAAGGGAAGAAACGTCTTGGTAAGAGTAATTTACTGCACACTACTTCAGAAGTGAGGCATAGTATAAATCAGGAAATAAAGAGGGCTAATGAGTAGGTGCAGCAGTAATTGTGGGTGATTTTTAACATGCATATTGTCTGGATTAATCAACTTGGCAAGGGTAGCCTTGTGGAAAGATTCAGTGTATGAGGAATTGTTTCTTAGAGCAACATGTCATGGAGCAAGAGAACTGGCTACTTTAAGTTTTTGGTATCATGTAATGAGGAAGGATTGATAAATGGTCTTGTAGTTGTGTCCTGTTGGAAGGAGTGATGACAACATGAAGAGTGAAGACAGTTGCATAATCTAGTTTGTTTTGGATACAGGCCTGGAGAAGGAGTTGGCCCTAGTGGACTGGGCAAAAATAGTGAAGGCAGCAGAGTTGAAAAACAGTGGCAAATACTTAAGGAGGTATGAAATACCTTTCAATTAAAGTATATTCCTGACTAGAAGAGGAATTGTAAAAATGATGGAAAAATTATCCATGGCTTATCAACAAAGTCGAGGATAACACAGGCTAAAAGTAGGGCATACCATATTTCAAAAGTTATTAGCATTCTGGAGAATTGGCAGCACTTTAAATGTCAGCAAAGGGTTACTAAAAACAAAATCAAAAGAACCAAGAAAGGAAACTAACAAAACCTAACTAGGGTCACCGGAGCCGAAACATTAACTGTTTTTCCCTTCACAGATGCTGCCAGACCTGCTGAGCTTCTCCAGCAACTTTGTTTTTGTTTTTGTTCATGATTTACAGCATCCGCAGTTCTTTCAGTTTTTAATGATACCAATAGCTTCTATAAGCATATAAAAAGAAGTAGAATAGTGAAAGTAAATGTTGGCCCTTTAGAAGTCAAAAATGGTGAGGTAGTAATGGGAAACTCCAATTGCAGAGCCCCAAAACCAATATTGTCTGTTTTCACAGTGGAAGATAATTTCTTCCCAAAAACTACAGTTACTACAGAGGAACTTGGTGAAATTACTATAATTAGGGAGAAGGTTTTAAGTAATGAGGGATTAAAGGCCGATAAGTCCCCAAATGTGGCTTACACCTGAGGGTGTTAAAGGAGATGGCAGCAGAGATAGTTGATGCATTAGTGATGATATTCAAAAATTCTATGGATTCTGGAAAGGTGGATTGGAAATATGCTAATATGACACATTCCTTCAGAAAAGTAGATAGGCCAAGAGTGAGAAAGGATAAACTGGTTAGTTTGACCTCGAGTCAATCATAAAGGAGGACATAATTGAACACTTGGAAAACCAAAGCAGAATTCACCAGTGTCAGCATGGTTTCATGAAGGGTGAGTCATGCTGACAAACTTGCTAGAGTTCTTTTGTGCATGTAACCAGCAAGGTGGATAAATGGTCTTCCAATGTAATGTGGTATATCTAGACTTCCAGAAAGCATTTTGACAAGGTACCACATAAAAGGTTAGTTCCCAGGTATTTAGGGATAAAGTATTGGTTTGGATAGAGGATTAACTGACTGACAGAAAGAGGGCTGATATAAATTGGTCCTTCACTGGATGGCAAACTATAACTAGTGGAGTGCTGCAGGGTCAAGTTCTAGAATGCAACTGTTAACAATCTACATAAATGGTTGCAAGTAGAGACAGAGGTGTAACATAAAATCTGTGGATGATACTAAAATAGGTGGGAAAGCAGGCTTTGATGAGAGAGTTTACAGATGGATATTGATAGATCCTGGGCCATTCTCTTAGCCTGTCAGGTGGAGTTTAATGTGGATAAATGTGAATTCATCCATTTTGGCCTGTAAAACATAGGGCAAATTATTATTTAAATGAGAAGCAAATTCAAAGTGCATCAGTGCAGAGGGATCTGGGTGTTCTTGTGCTTGAATCGTGGAAACTAGGTATCTGGGTTTAGCATTATCATAAGAAAGGCAAATTGAATCTTTGGCATTTATTGCAGAAGGATGAGACTATAAAAGTAAAGAAGTGTTACAATTATATAAGGTGGTAGTGAGACCACACCTAGAATATTATGTCCAGTATTGGCCTCCTTACTTGAGGAAAGATGTCGTGGTACTGGAGGCCATTCAGAGGAGGTTCATCAGATTGATTGATTCCACGAAAGGTTGATGTACAAGGAACAGTTGAATAGCTTGAGCTTGTACTTGCTGTAGTTCAGAAAAATGAGGCGGGGGAATCTAATTGAGGGATATAAAATGCTAATATTAATAAGATGGACATTGAACAGACGTTCCGTCTTGTGGGACAGTCTCAAACAAGAGTCAGAGATATAGAGTGAGGAGAAACTATTTCTGAGGGCTGTGAATCTGTGGAGCTCAATGCCTCAGTACTGTGGAGACAGGATCAATCAACAGGTTCAAGATAGAAATAGATATATTTCTGATGAAAAGCAGGATAAAGGACTATGGGGAGCAAGCAAGAAAGTGAAGTTGAGACCAGGATAAGATATGCCATGATCACGTTAAATGGTGGAGCATGCTTGAAGGGCTGAATTGCCTACCCCTGCTCCTAATTTTTGTGTTCCTCTTCAGCTGCTTATTCTTTGTGCTTTGAAAGCTCTGAATTTAATATCTCTTCCACATAGTAATTCCAAATTGTAACCACTCACTAGTTACATATTTAACTGCTATTTTTTGGCTCTTGTAGACTTTGGTATTTGACAGTTGCCTTCAACTGGTGCTCAGTAGCTCCCAACCCTTCAGTCAGTGTCAATAACCTCTGTCTAGGTCCTCCATGGTAGTAATTGTGTTATAAATTATCAATGATTCTTCCCCGGGGAGATGGTTTCATTGATATTTTTGTGGTTTAGTTCGAAAAGGGCATCAAGGGGTGGACCAAAAGTGTAAGGTTGCATGTTCAAATCACATCAGGCCCTCAAAGATTTACTGCATCTCAAGTTCCTGGATTGGTGTGATGGTAGTGTCCCTACCTCTGAGCCAGGAGGTCCTGGTTGAAGTCCCACCTGCTCCAGAGGTGTATGATAACATCTCTGAACAACTTGATCAGAAAATATTTGATGTTGAATTCAGGTATGTAATTCTTTGAAGGTTACATCACAGGGTGGTTAAGAAAGTGTTTAACATGCTTGCCTTCGTTGCTCAGACCTGTTGAATACAGGAGTGGGATGTTTGTTAAGGTTGTACAGGGTGTTGATGAGGCCTCTTTTGGAGTACCGTGTCTAGTTCGGGTCACCCTGTTATAGGAAGGATGCTATTAAACTGTAGAAGGTTCACAAGAGATTTGTCAGGGTGCTGCCAGGAATGGAGGATTTGAGTTCTGGGGAGAGACTGGATAAGCTGGGACATTTTTCATGAGCATAAGATGTTAAGGGATGACCTTATAGAGGTGTATAAAATCATGAGTATAGATAAGGTGAATATCAGGTGTCTTTTCCCTGGGTGGGGAATTTCAAGACTCGGGGACATATTTTTATGGTGAGAGGAGAGAGATTTTTAAAAACGACATGAGGGGCAGTTTTTTTGCCCACAGTGGTTCGTGTGTAGAATGAACTTCCAGAGGAGGTGGTGGATGTGGGTACAGTTACAATGTTTAAAAGACATTTTAGATAAGTACATGAATAAGAAATGTTTGGAAGCAATCTTTTGAGAACCATGAACTCAAAGTTACATTTACCTCCCAAGCTTGCATATGTCTTGTCAATCCTCGAATTACTTGTGTTCTGTACCAAAATGTATTTTTTTTTTAAATTTGAGTTTGTATTTAAATCTAGCAACAAGTCACTTATGTGGTCTCCGTACAAAGTCTATCCAATTACTCTAATTGAAACTGTTTCCGTGCCACCTGTCAAAATCATCCTCTTCTCCCATTCCATTTCCCTCCAGTCCTCGCCTCTGGTTCTACTGTACACCATATGAAATAACTTGTGATTTGATTGTTGCCTAGTCCAGTTTAGAATTTTAAGCTTGCAGTCATGTCACCACCCCGCCCGCCCCCAACCTTCTTTCTTCCAGTGAGAACCTGGCTAAATTACATAATTGCTACTTTATAACCCAATTCTGCCATCACCCCAATCCATCAAGTTCCTCTTTTAGGCCCTACAGGGAAAAGGATGTTGCAATTATTATAGTGACAATTAGATTTTTAGTTTTTAGAATTTTAATATTGCTATTTGGTATAATAGTATTTTGTATTTTGCATTCATAATTTTGGTATTTTTGGTACATTTGCCTCCATAATTTAGAACTGACAGGATTGCCTTACTATTTTGTTCCTTTTTATTTGCTTTACAGGCCACTGCAGAATATTTTTTGTGGTATCTTTAAATGTGTTTGTCAAGATGCCAGATTTCTCTCATTACTATGTATTATCTTCAATTTAAATAATAGTTCCTTTCTGAACTCTGATCCTTATATGCATTTCCTAACATTAAATTGCTTCTGCCAGTTACCTGTCTATTCAATTCAAAAGTATGTTCAATCTTTCTGTAGTTCTCTTGATCATCGTTTGAAGTCTACCACCTTCATTAAGACTTAGTAACATCTGCAAATTGAACTAGTCTACTGTGGCACTTGGTTCCAAATCACTTGTAAAGATATTGGACACACTCTCTCATAGCATTATGCTAAGGTGATGTCAATCCTTATGCTGCTATTAACTTGGAAATGTGTCACTGTTCCTTCAGTATTGTGTCAAAATTCTGGACTTCCCTCCCTAACAGCATTGCACGGCTACCTTCAGCGCATGGACTGCAGTTATTCAAGAAGGCTCACCACCATGTTCTTGAGGGCAGATAGACAAGAATTTATTGCCTGTCACTATCTATTATCATCCATTTTCTAAGTGCTTTAACAAAAAATAAATGGTCTGAAGAAGGGTCACTGGACCTGAAACATTAACTCTGATTTCTCTCCACAGATGCTGCTAGACCTACTAAGCTTTTCCAGCAATTTCTTTCTTTTGTCTCTGATTTCCAGCATCTGCAAGTCATGCATTCATTCTTATTTTAAAAAAGACTTGCCTAGAGGATTGCAGCTCCAGCAACGTGTGTTGACCTTACCAACAACATTCACAATCTCTGAAGGAATAAAAGAAAATCAATCTCCAGACATTGATGTCTAGTATCATGGACGATGATCTGATTGAGTCTGTTCAACCTCAATGGATTGAATAATTTACACCCTGCTCCTATGTAACTGAAATTTTCCAAGCCAGGCTACAGATAATACAGAACATCTGAGACTTGTATGAAATGAAACTTGATTCTTTATTCGTTGCTCACAATGCTTAGATATAACATTGTCCTGCTGTGTTGAACACATTACTAAAGCATGCAGGGAAAAATTATCATATTTTCTGGTTACCTCACAGTGAAAAAAATGCTACTCACGAGGCATAAATTGCATGAATTCCTATGTATACTCTTTTTGGAATTGCCATTATCTTGCTGCTGTAGAAATGTAGAAAAGTGGAATTGAAGGGCACTTTCCTTCCCATCATGGAGAAACTATGACAATTACCAACTAAACTCTTGCACTCCACACAGTCTAGCCAGAAATGTACAAGCATAATGCCTTTAGATTGCTGGAGAGAAGAAAAATAACTTGGAGGGGAATCATCCTCAAAGGAAAGTTGTTTCTAAGAAATAGGATTGGGTATAATGGTGCTAAATTCCTTTCTACAAATGGACAGTTAGGTTTTCTTTTTGCCTTTCTCATTAGTGTCAATATTCTGAGAATGAAAAAACTACTACACCTGTAGAGAAAACTTCTTCAGATTTAGAAGAGCCTCCACCACCAGCAATTAGTTTTATGAATTGCCTTCCGAATGGATGCAATAAGTCACCATCGCCGCCACTGATGATAATTGAACATGAAATTCCACATACACCAAAGGTCCCAGAAATGACCACACAGATCACTGCAGATGTTCTTAAGGTTGGTACTGTTTCTTCTTTAATTTCTACCACTTCAAAATTAAATCCGTAAAATGCAATATTAATATCACAAAATAAGTGGGAGTGCAAATAGTGAGGAAGACTCCCTCTCCAGAGGAATATAGATAGGTTGTGAGTGGCAATAAGTCAGTAGATGGTACACTTTCTCAGGAAGAATAGGTGAGCTGAATATTATTTAAACTGGGAAGAACTGTAGAAGTTGCAGCACAGAGATTTGAGATTTTTCATGCATGAATCCCAAAAAGCCAGCGTCCAAATTTAACAGGTAATGGGGAAGGCAAATAGAATTTTGGTCATTATTTCAAAGGGAATGGAATATAAAAATAGGTTTTGCTAAAACTGTTCAAGGTATAGTCTGATCATGCCTGGAATACTGTGAACAATTTTCGTCCCTTTTATCTAAAGAAAGATGTGCTGACATTGGAGGCAGTCCAAAGAAGGTTCACTGGGTTGATTCCAAGTATGGAGGGATTTTCTTTGTAGTTGGGTAAGTTGGGCCTGTACTCATTGGTGTTGAAAAGCATGAGAAGATCTGCTTTAACATGTCAATTTTGTGATTTTTGAGCAAAGGTACCCAGGTTTGTCTGGACACCAACATTAAAATAATTTACTTTGCTGTCTTTTCCAAATGGGTAACGTCACATTAATCAGCACAATATTACACTTTCTGTATATTTGCCTAATTGATTTGTCTGTATCTCTTTATAGCCTCTTGGTCTCTGCACAGCTTACTTTCTCCCCTAACTTTGTATACTGGATACACCAGGCGTAGGTCAGTGCTCTAAGTCGTTTACTATACATTAAGTTCCAGCAGCGGTCCTTATTGTACCCTGCTAGCTACAGATGTGAGTGGGGAGAGTGATGACACCCCAAACCACCACCACCAACCCCCCCCACCCCCCCGCCGACTGTAGAACTTGCATTCCCAAGAGCCATAATTCTGGTAATCTTTGTAGTCGCAAATTATTGAATGCTTTTGAAAATCCAAATGTGCCAGGAGCATGAATATGGACGCTGAGAGTAATTCATATGTGGATGAGGAGGTGGTAGGTGCAGGTATAGTTACAACATTTAAAAGACATTTGGATAGGTGCGTGAATAGGAAAGGTTTAGAGGGATATGGGCCAAACACAGGCAAGTGGGACTAGTTTAGTTTGGGATATTTGGACAGCATGGATTAGTTAGACAAATGGGGCTATTCTGTGCTCTATGACAGGCATGTCAGAACTTTTGTATATAGTGAGTGGTAGTGACCTGGATCTTGTTGCCTAGGAGGGTGATGCAAAACAAGGCAGTGAATGACTTCAAAGGAAATTGGATGCACACTTGATAGAAATAAACTTGCAGGGCTCTGGGGATAGTCGTGGGACTGATTCGGATTGACCATGGAGAGTTGGTGTGAACTTGATAAACCAAATGGCCATTTCCTGTGCTGTAATAACTCTGATTTTATGACTTCAGGACATTTTACTAAATTAACATAGGCACAAATAACCTATATTTATATGATATTAGATAAACACAGATTATTGATACCTATTTCAGAAACATGGCACAGATGCACGTAGCTACTTCCTTTTGCTTTAAAATTGTTTGTCATTGATCCGTTTAGAGGATTTTTTTCTGACTTGACTATGCATTCAAATAATAAGTATAATTGTCACTTGTTATAAATAGCAATTTTCCAATTATTTTGTCATAATATACTAATAATTTAATCTGTATGCCAGATTTTATTGTCATATGATGCAAATTTAAGGACTCCACATGATACAAGGCACAAATTTGATAGACGCAACTTGACTTCCATTAACCTAATGGCCCCTGTATCCAGGAGGAACACTGAAAAAGAAAATGGGTAAGGTGTGATCTTTGCTACTTCAATACTGATATTTAAAGTCTCTTGTATTCTGTACTGAATAAGTTAAAATTCCTCAGTTATTGAAACTAATGTAATTCAAGACTGCGCATTATAACTTTCCCAGTAGAAACAGCTCCACTTCAGAGATGGATCAGTTGAGCACCGGTTACCTTTTTAATTGCAATGCATCCGACCAAGGAGTCAGCTTTTGACACTCCTTCTAGGCTACCCAAGAAGGAGAAAACATGGAAAAATATGCTTCCATAGTTCCGGGTATTGAAAGATATTGCACCAGAATCAGGACCGCTTAGATTTCCAGAATATCTGAAGAGTGAGTGGATAGACAAGATTGTCTCTGTCTCTGTCTCTGTGTTAATGTAGACATCTTAATTGCAAAACTACATGTATTCTGTGGCCTTAAACATTCATATACATAAACATACAAACAAGGAACAAGAGTATGTCCCTCGGCCCTTCAAATGTGCTTCGCCATACAGTGTGATTATAGCTGATCTTATTTTAACCTCAATTCTACATTCTTCCATACCCCTCGTTAATCTCTAATCTTTTAGTTCAATTCATTTAGAATATAACTGGAGAAAGGTTAGATTGTAATCAATTGAAATGGCTGTTCAGAATTAATGCTGTGGACTTCCCTACTCGAGTATTTCTGTATTTATTATTACATGTTTTTTTATATTTAACTTGGTGTATGATATTTCTGCTCATTCTCGTACGTGCATGTTTGCCCACTGCAATCTTTCTTGAGCACTGATGCTGTTTCTTGTTCACTTTTTTTTTTACCATTTGGCCCTGCTGCATTCCTCAAGATAGGTACTGTTGTGATAGCTCAATATATGCAACAGCAAGCATAGTGAAACCTGGTCTTTATCACTCTGGATACCAGACTTTCCAGTAGGGGTCCTTAACAAATGCTTTTTCAATTAAGTTCTATTTTATAGCCAATACCAGGAGAAAATTCTAGGTAAAATGAGTTTCTTCATCCTGTATGCTAAATAATTGGAATAATATTCTAAGGAGATTTTAATACAGCAAAAACGTTTGAATTTTTTTTTGTTCAATATAGTCACGTGCAATAGTGAAAAAAAAGGATGGACCTTCAAAAGATCTCTTCTTGACTTGGCCAATGAACTGAAGTACTATTTTTATTGATTTCTTTTTCACAACTGCGATCAAAGTATTTTTGTAGGATGATTATGCTGTCGTATAAATGTAAAGACATTGTGGTGTCTAATCATTGTACAAAACAAACAAGCTTAAAACTACAGAATTAATGGGACAGTTAACGCTAGAAAAACCCATTTATGCAGTACTTCTAGTAATTGCAAAGCACTTGGATTGATGATTACTCATGTTTTCCCCTTCCAGTTTTTTGGGGGAGTGATGTATCCATCTTTGTCCAGCCTTGATGAAAAGAATTTTAAAAGGTAAACTTGGTGTTGGAAAAGAAATATACTGGATTAGACAACAAAATGTTTGAATTGTTATACAAATGGACAGTTCTGTGCAATTGAATTATTAAGTACAAGAGCAACTCCAAAATCACACCGGAGTAAAGGATGCCATGTAAACTGTGCTATGGAGGAAAGAAGTGGCGTCGCTGAAACAGTGTTTCCATTCTTGCATATTAAGATCAGATCAAAGCTGTAACTAACAATGATTCTTAAAATTAAATTCCATTTATACTTGTTTGCTGCGTCTGGGTTAGAATAATTTTGGGTGTTTGAAGCCGTGCATTCGTTATGTTAAGGTGGAATAAGATGCCTTTCGATGCTGAAAATGTGATTCGGCATTTTAATCAGATTTTTTATGAAATTTAGGATTTAGAAGATTTTAATTTAATTAAACAACTAGCTTCAGAAGAAGGAGGTGGTCAAGGGCGAGAAATTGCAAGGAAAAGTGCTGGAGAAACTCGCAGATCTGGCAGCATTTGTGGACAGAGAAGTAGTTACCATTTTGAGTCCAATATGACTTTTCAGAACTGCTGAGCAGTTCCAATAAAGATCTTTACTGGATTCAGTTAACTTTTTCACTTCGGATGCTGCCAGACTTGTTAGGTTTTTTCAGCACTTGGTTTTTATTTCCGATCTACTGTACTTTTGCTTTAATTTGAATCCATATATTTTGGTCCTTTCTTCTAATCTCAAATTGCATTTTATAATCTTCCCCTTGATTTATTCATAAATAAAGTTGTATCAATTAACAAGAGGAGATGTACCATGTAATTTCAACTTTTTAAACTGCCATTTTAAATTGCAAATCTTCACCTGCAGATTTTGGATTAAATGGTTTGGATACCATTTTGTTCATGAATGACTTATAAATATGTTGTGTTGCATAAAGCCAAATGACTTTTTGTAAATTTTGCATGAAATTCTGAGATGTTTAACAATGATTTATAAATTACTTCTTTGATTTACTTTTTTGTGAAAAACCACCTCATGCCTGATTTATGACATATGTACATTTGACGGAAGAAACCTTTTTAATGCTACCAGCAGCTCCTGCTTTGAAGATTCGCAAAGTTCTTCTGTTGCGCATTATTGCTATACGTGATGCATCATTGGAAAGAAGGGAGAAATTGGTTAAGAGCATGATCAATGACCTTTGAAAACAGTTATTCTAATTTGAACTGAGACAAAGTTACAGAGTTTGAGATCTTTGTATGAATATGTGCGTTCATGGAAAAATAGTACTACATTGTGTGTAGCCCCTCTCATAGTGTTACAAGTGATGGTCAAATTCTATGATACAAGAGGCAACATGTCAGAGTTGCCTGTGACCAATATTTTACTGGGTGTAAACTTGACTATTGTTAACACCTCACTGCATAATTTGACCACATGTCAAACTGTGTCATAGAGTCATACAGCACGGAAACAGTCTCTTCAATCCAACTTGTCCATGCCAATCATGTTTCTAAACTAACCCCACTTGCCTGCATTTGGCCTGCATCCCCCTCAATCTTTCCTACTCATGTATCTGTCCAAACGTGTTTTAAATGTTGTAGCTGTACCTGCATCTAAGACACAACCTTCCCTTAACAAAAGTATGCTAACTATCTCCAATTGATCTGTGCTTTTCCAGTTGTTGTAATCTCAATATTGATTATAGTCATTTGCCCACCACAGAGGTTTGACTGACTGGCCGTTAATTATTTGGCCTATCCCTCTCAAACGTTTTAAATAACAATACTTGCAATCCTGTAACTGCTTTGGATGCAAATCATCTGGCTCTGACTGACTATTTTCAAAGTAGACAGTGCCCTTCTAGTACTTGTCTTCTCATTTTAATTTAATATTTTACGCTGCTCCTCCTTGAATTGAATGCCTGCAGCATCCCTCTTATTTGAGACAACAGAGATGAAGTACACATTTAAAACCAAACTAAAGTTATCATGCCAGTCTCTGAAAAAACCCTACCATTTCCTTAATAATTTGTTCCTAAAGTACTGGTAGAACATTTTTGGATTTTCCTTAATTTTATTGATCAATATTTTTTTCATTACCCCCTCTGCTTTCCAAACTTCTATTTTTCATGTCACTCCTGCATTCTCTAATCTGCAAGCTTCCTAAAAGATTTACTTTTTCTTTTGTGACTATCATAATCGCAATTTTTGTGCTTTTGTACTCTTATATTTTGTCTTGCCCAATATTTTACTGGATAATCAGGTGAGCTCTACATTTGGCAGTACCACACTTTCTCTTGTGAGCATGTACCTACAATGTGCCCAGAATTGCACTTTTGAATGCCTCCCACTGACTTTATCCAGTTCACCTTTGCCAGATCCTCAGCTTTGTAATGCTGCTTTCTTGCAATTTGGAACTTTTTACTCATATTATCGAATGAGGAAAAGACAGGCAGCACTGTGGCTCAGTGGTTAGCATTACTGCCTCACAGCACCAGGGGCCTGGGTTCAATTCCCCCTCAGGCAACTGTCTGTGTGGAGTTTGCACATTCTCCCCGTGTCTGTGTGGGTTTCCTCCGAGTGCTCCAGTTTCCTCCCACAATCCAAAAATGTGCAGGCTAGGTGGATTAGCCATGCTAAATTGCCCCTAGTGTTCAGGGATGTGTAGGTTAGGCAGGTTTGAGGAATGGATCCAGGTGGGATTCTCTGAGGGTTGGAGTGGACTTGTTGGGCCGAAGAGCCTGTTTCCACACTGTAGGGGTTCAATGGTAAGTCTAACTGTATTATGATCACTGTCCAAAATGGTCACCAATGTTACTTCATTCACCTGCCCACTTTAATTAATTAAGACAAGAGCTATAATGTGCCCTTTTTTTTTTTGATGAATTTGTTATATGCTGGCTGAAAAGGTTGTCTTGATTGTGTTTTAAGAATTTTGTGCCCTCCTTGACTATCATACAGTTTGTATGCCAACTGATATTGGGGTAGTTGAAGTCCGCAACTATTTGTTGTTTTCCTACTGTGAAATCTGCCTACATATTTGCTCCTCTGTCTCTTTCAGTTTGGGGCTGTATAGTATACGTATAGTAGTTTGGCTGTCCCCTTTTTTTTTGTTTTTGAACTTAATCCATAAAATGTGGCCTCATCCCATAGTTCATTTAGGATATCCTCAATTCTCTCCACTGTAATCAATGATTTAAATAAGAATGCTGGGTATACTTTTTTTTTTAATCCTCTTCTCTAACATGCTGAAAATGCTCTATCCAGGAATGCCGAGCTGCCATCATTTTTCATCTTTAAGCCAAAATGCCATAATGGTAACAATATGATGCTGCCAGATGCCTGCGTCTACAGCTCCTTGGCTTTATTTGGTGTACTCCTTATGTTTACTTACGTGTGTAAGCAACTTTAGTTCAAAGAAAGGAACTGAAAGATTTGCAGCTTTTCAAGGACATATGAGGTGCTATAGAAAAGTTTAATTACTAATTGTGGAACTTGTATTTTAGGACAGGTTTATATACAAAAACACTTTAATTACAATACTGTTCAAATTGTAGATTTCATCTTAACATTTTTCTGTGATTGTTCAATGTAGTTTTCTAAATGTTCACCTTTTCTATTGTTGCCATTCACTGTCACCATTTTCAATTAGTTTCACCAGCACTATCAATAACATTAAAAGAAACTTTTGAATTATGCTTTTTGTGCAGTCCAGATTTCTTTGTCATATACATATCCAAAGTTATTACATTTTTAAATTTTCCCGAGACTTAATAAGCAGCCTACATTATTTCACCTGGACCATCTCCACTACCTCTCTCTCCTTCCTGGACCTCTCTATTTCCATCTCTGACAACCACCTGGAAACCGATATCCATTTCAAGCCTACCAACTCCCACAGCTACCGAGAGTACACCTCCTCTCGCCCACCTTCCTGCAAAAAGGCCATCCCCTATTCCCAATTCCTTCACCTCCGCCACATCTGCTCCCAAGATGAGACATTCCACTCCCGGACATCCCAGATGTCCTCGTTTTTCAAGGACCGCAACTTCCCCTCCAAAGTGGTCGAAAACGCCCTTGACCGTGTCTCTTGCATTTCCCGCAACTCCTCCCTCACACCCCCTCCCCGCAATAACAACAAAAACAGAATCCCCCTCATCCTCACGTACCACCCGACCAACCTCTGGATCCAACGCATCATCCTCCAACACTTCCGCCATCTACAATCCGACCCCACGACCAAAGACATTTTTCCCTCCCCACTCTTATGAATCACAGAAGGTAGGTTTGCAGGTACAACAAGTAATTAGGAAGGCAAATGGAATTTTGCCCTTCATTGCTAAAGGGATTGAGATTAAAAGCAGAGAGGTTATGTTGCAGCTGTACAAGGTGCTGGTGAGGCCACACCTGGAGTACTCTGTGCAGTTTTGTTCTCTTTACTTGAGAAAGAATGTACTGGCACTGGAGGGGGTGCAAAGGAGGTTCACTAGGTTGATTCCAGAGTTGAGGGGGTTGGCTTATGAGGAGAGACTGAGTAGATTGGGATTATATTCATTGGAATTCAGAAGACTGAGGGGGATCTTATAGAAACATATAAAATTATGAAGGGAATAGATAAGATAGAAGTAGAGAGGATGTTTCCACTGGCAGGTGAAACTAGGACAAGAGGGCATAGCCTCAAGATTAGAGGGAGCAGATTTAGGACTGAATTGAGAAGGAACTTCTTCACCCAGAGGGTTGTTAATCTATGGAATTCCTTGCCCAGTGGAGTAGTTGACGCTACTTCAGTAAATGTTTTTAAAGATAAGGTGGATTTTTTTTTGAACAATAAGGCAATTAAGGGATACGGTGAGAACGTGGGTAAGTGGATCTGAGTCCACGAAAAGATCAGCCATGATCTTATTGAATGGCGGAGCAGGCTCGAAGGGCCGGACGGCCTACTCCTGCTCCTAGCTCTTATGTTCTCTTATCTGCTCTCCAGAGGGAGCACTCTGTCCGTGACTCCCTTGTCCGCTGCACACTCCCCACCAGCCCCACCACACCCGGCACTTTTCCCTGCAACCGCAGGAAGTGCTACACCTCACTCCCATCCCAGGCCCTAAGAAGACCTTCTACATCAAACAGATGTTCACCTGCACGTCTGCTAATGTGGTATACTGTATCTGCTGTTCCAGATGTGGCCTCCTCTACACCGGAGAAACCAAGCGGCGGCGTGGGGACCGCTTTGCGGAACACCTACGCTCGGTTTGCACCAAACAACTGCACCTCCCAGTCGTGAACC